ATAACTTACTTTTATTATTATTAGTTATATACTTAGTGTCAGATCTCAAACTTGAAACAAATGGCCAAGACCTGTTTGATAAAGCCTGAAATTTCCCAAAAGCTGTGGATTAAGAGACAAATATAAACTCATGAAAGACCAGCAGAGAGAGTTTCAATGTCACAAAACAAGGCACTCGGGAAGTGGAGGCAAGAGCTTATTGTTGGCTACCTAGTGAGTTTCAGACAGACTTAAAAAAGAAAAACAAATCTCAAGCTTACTTTCCCTTGGGCAATTCCTTCCCCTCTTCTGCTTCCTTTTCAGAACCTGTGCCCTTCAAGGCTGTGTTACACAAGAGTCCTGGTATGCGAGAGGAGGATGAGATGGAAACAGACTGAGTTTTGGGGAGAATGCAACTTTGCCTTGGGAAAGAGCTGCAACCTGGGAGGCTGAGGTGGCTGTGCCTTCACAGGTGTTCCTATTGCCACCAGAAGGTCTTCCTTTATACTTTGCTTTCTTCTGAACTCCAGTCTTTCCTCTCTGTCTCCCTCGCCTTTCTCCTCCCTTCCTTGCTCTGCTTCCATCCTTTCGTTCTTCATCTACCCCCTAGACCTATGTATTCTTCTGATGGTCTCACTCCATAATGGGCAGCCAGGTGCCTGAGTGAGGTACCCACATCAATTTAGACTTGCATCCTCCTTGCTTATTTGGTTACCCTTCAATTATTAAATTATCTCTCTTCAGTGTTCCTCCTACTCATCTTCTCTTTCCAGTCTTGTTGTCCATGTTCTGTTTGGACTTTCAGCTTATTCGCTGGACTCCATCTTGTTCTCCTTCCTTTTAACTATATTTTCTTAGTTCTTTACTTGATTGCCAGGCTGACCTTTCAGAGTGACAACATTTACCTTTACACGGTCCATTCTCTTTCTTCATGTTTTTGTAATTATGTTTTTACTAGCAGATGTTAATTATGCATACTAATTGGTTTAATTAGGCATTTTCATGTACATACATTTTCCATATATGTCATTACGAACATACAATTTTACTGCATTCATCCCTTGTTTCCCTCCCACTCCTGATGCCCCCCCTCACATCCTCTCTCTCCTTCTCACTTTTATCTCTTTCATTTGATGACCTAATGAATTTCATTAGGATTGCTTACAGGACCCTGAGTGAGGGATTATTTACAGCAGTATGGATTCCTTAAATTCCTTATCCATGACTGCACAACCCAAGAAAATATCCCCATCTACCCCTGGGACCATTAACTGCCTAGAGATAGTCAGGAAGCGTGAGACCTCATGTACCCCTTCCTCTTAGCTGTCACGGTCCATTTTCATCTCCTAGAACCTGGACTCTCTCCCATCTGCCTTTCTCAGACATCAATCACGTGTGCACTTTTGGCTGGCCTTATGCTAAACAGAGGAAGTGGATGCCTAAGCTACTTGGGTAACTTACTCATGACTAGTCACATGTATGCAACCTGTCTGTTCACACTCTTTCTTCCCTTCAGCCAAGCTTCACCTCTGTCAGCTCAGCTCATCCCAAACCACATGGATTCTTCCTTTTGTAGCTGTACATAATTCCTTTCCTCTGTAAGAGCCCTCCAAATAGTGGAAGAACGCTCTACCATATTTTCTGTAAGCTTCTGTCATCTCTCCCTTATATGAGAAATGACTTGACTGTATGTAGTGTGTGTGTGTGTGTGTGTGTGTGTGTGTGTGTGTGTGTGTGTGAAGCGTCCTTCTGAGTGTGTATGCAAGTGTGTATAGAGGCTGGAGACTGAAGTCAGGTAACTTCTTCAGTTATTCTCCACCTTATCCTTGGAGATGGCGCCTCTCTCTGGATAGTGTCTCTCCCTGGATGGCACCTCTCCCTGAATGGCGCCTCTCTCTGGATAAAGCCTCTCCCTGGATGGCGCTTCTCCCTGGATAGTACCTCTCCCTGGATGGCGCTTCTCCCTGGATTGCGCCTCTCCCTGGCCTGGAGCTCATTTACTCAGAGGCAGAGTTCAGAAATCTGCCCGTTTCTCTCTCTCCAGTTCTGGGACTACAGGTGCCTGTTTCAGTGCCCAACGTTTTAAGTGAGTGCTGGCGATCCAAACTGAAGCCCTCGTGTTTGGATGGCAAGAGCCATCTCTCCAGCCCTGACATTGCCTCTTCTAAGGTCTGATGTTGAGAGATGAACAGATCGACCTGTGCTTGCTTTCTTTATTTCAAATGTTGCAACCTCTGTATATCTACCATCACGATTTCACTTCATTCCCTTGGAACTTATCAGCGTCTAGTATAAAATATGCGGACAAATATTTATTCATACATATATCTTGTCATCAAAACACTTAGCAATCTTTGTTCTAGAGACTGCAAAATAACCTATCATGGTGAAATTAAATGAGACTCTGTATAATCAGTTTTTCCTGCTGAAATTTCTGTCACTGACATTTTCTCAGTAAACTCACATGGATGAAAACTCTCGAGCTACAAACTCTGATAACTGGCCCTGTAACATAAGCTTAAAATTATAGAGCTTGTAAACAACCAGATAATTCACGCATACAATAGTAGAGGCTTATGTGCCGACTTTGTTTTATAGGTTTATTTAACTGTCGTGGAGAGCATTAAAATCCATCTTGGAAGAATAGTGATGATTAACTGCAAAAGTCATCACTTGTTGAATATGTAATCTCTGCTGAGCACCATAAGGGGCATTTTATTTGACTCCATTAGTTTTTATAATAAAACCAAGATTAAGGTATTATTACCTCCTTGTGTAAGAAACTGAGACTTAGAGAACTTAAACACTCTCGCCAGGAGCTCCCTAACTAGTGTGGATTCCCAATGCCTACTGAGCCTATTCCATTCTGAAACCTATAGTTCTAAAGATCAGGCCACATTCCTACCAAAGATTTGGAAAAATGAACGAGTGGTGGTTTAATGACCCCACACTACTGTACTCACTACTTAGGTTCTTTTTATCCACCTTTTAGGAGGCCTAGAAATGAGCTTCTATGTAAATAAGAGAAGGTGGAGGTCAAGAGTTCAAGGCCAGCGTGAGACACACAAGGTCTTGTTTCAAACAAACCAGGTCGTCTACTTTCTCTGAGCTATAGGAATGAGGGGATGGACTAGCTAAGGAACTGTGGCTATTTTATTTTATTTATTCTTATTTTCTTGTCATTTGAAATCGTTAATTGTCAGTCTCTGATTCTCATTCATACTGCCCTGCTTTGCTTCTCCTTCCCTCCCGTCTCTAGAACTCTGCCTGAGTGTGCTTTTCTGACACCTAGCATGCCCCTCTCCTTTGCTCCCAAGGAAAGATGGAACATGGTTTACAAACCATATCAGAACTGAATTAGCGTAGATATGACGGGGCTTGATTGGACATCCATTCATCTGGCTGAACATGAAGCCATAGATGACAGAAGAAAAAACGCTAAACAGTAAAGAGGAATGGAAACTCAGGAAAACTGAGACTTACGGGGAAAGGTGTTGATGGCATCACAATCTGACTTTACAAATCCATTGGGTAGCTACTAAGTCCTGTTTCTAGAACATCCCATCTGCATATAGGTGTGTCCAGTCCTATGTCTAGAAACCAGTCAGAGAACTTCTTTGCTTGTGCATGAAATGAATGAATGCAAAAATATCAAGTCTCAGCTTACATTCCTGTTCTGCCTTATACAGATTGGCTGACCTTGAGCTTATTAGGGCCTCAAACTCTGTGTTTATCTGTACTATGATAGAAAATAACACTTTCATATCATGCACAGAATATATAAGAAGGGATTTTTAAAAACAGGATCTTATATAACTTTGGCTGGCCTGGCCCTCTTTGTTTAGGTCTCATTGACCTTGAACTCATAGAGAGATGTGCCTGCTTCTGCCTCTTGACTATGTGTACTACCACACCCAGATTAAAAAGATCATTGAATAAACTGAGAGAATCTGGCAGACTTCTTTATCAAATATTGAATGAAATTTAAAATATTTTCTTATTAGTATTACTTATGTATTACGTGTATGTGTGTGTGTGTGTGTGTGTGTGTGTGTGTGTATGTGTGTGTGTAAACTCATGCATGTGGAGGTCAAGAAACACTCCTTGGAGTTGGTCTTCACCTTCTACCAGGTAGTTCCTTAAGGCTGAACTCAGTGTCAGACTTGAGGGCAAGTGTCTTTACCTGTTGAGCTATTTGCTGGCTCTAATTTTTGTTTTCATTTTTTTTTAAAGGAACAATATGTACAGGGCTTTTGAGGCAAAACAAAACAACTTGAAGCTTAGCATTGTCACTATCAGTACCTGCTGTGTAAACGGCTTTACCTCTGCATATCAAGCACACCATCTGTGACACGGAATAACATGCACGCCCCTGGCAAGAGTACCTAAGGTGGCTCATTTGAATGCATCTGTCAGTGGGAATTGCATCACTCTTGTCAAACTGCTTGAGCTACGCTATGCAAAAGAGAACTGTAAACTCTCCAAGTCCAGGCAGTTCTTGGTTTTCACTTTTATTAAAAATGTTTGATGCCCATGAGATGAATTGCTTTCTGTCAACTCCCATTTAAGTCAACATCATTCTCTCCCACCCCAGTTTTTAATCACCTATTTATAACTTGCTATTTATAAGACAGTTATTCTACTTCAAGAAGAAGCAAAAGAACACACACGGGGGGAGGTGGGGGTACAAAATTCAGAATGCAAAAACACAATAATTTCCACCATTGACATATGAATGTATACTATATTGAGCAACAGTTAGACTCTGAAGTCCCATTTTGTTTCTAGATTCTTGTTAGATAGGTAGGAATCCTGAAAAAGTGGTTTGGGAGGAGATACTGACTGTGGAGCCCAGGCACGGCATGTACTTCAGTGTTTTGGGGATGAGAGCCAAGATCTCAGCTATTGAGTGGCAGGGAGACGGAGAGAGAGAGAGAAAGAGGGAAGAAAGGAGGAAAGAAAGGGAGGGAGGGAGGGAGAGAGAGAGAGAGAGAGAGAGAGAGTCATGAGGGTGTCCTTACCGTAGCATCTTCCCCAGCATAGTGGTTGAGGACCCGATGCCCACCTGGATGCTTGCCTGCCCAGTCAGTCACATTGTAAACCTTGCGATCAATCACCAGCCACTGGTCCGTCTCCTTATTGTGTCTCTGGATCTCCTCCCAGGTGTACAGGTTGAGACATTTCCCCTTGCCATTTGCTTCCTGCTTTTCATAGACCTCCACTTTCACATTTGCTCTCTGTTTTCCATTCGCCTGATGCGCGTCATTTAGACACGGCTGACAACTTCTAACAGAGCTCTTGGTGTGCTCAAGTTTCTCCTCCAACTTCATTGTCCCTGAATCCCTGAGAGTTTCCTAGCTCTATAATTGGGCCATAAAATGACTCCTTGCCTCCCCTTTTATTCCTCTGCGGTCCTGATGCCTACACAGAAAGCCTTCTGGCTAAATTGTCTCTTCAGAGTCTAACAGCGAGCACCTGCCCTGCCTAGTCCTGTTTCGGTCTGTAGTTAATCTTTGCTGCAAGAGGACAGCTAAATCACATCTCCCTAGTCACCTCTCTCCTGCTGGCTTTAAGTGCATCCTCCTTCATCATTAAATATCCCAGAGTACAGAGCCGGAGCCAATTGCAGTCTGGATGGTTAGAGGCCACACCCAGTGGGAGGAGGGGCTCAGATCTGGTCTTTGATTTTCTAGTGACATCATCATGGGTTGGGTTTACTTGTTCTCTGGAATACCTCCAACTAACGACCTTTAGTAATTCAACATGTGAACAAAAGCTTTCAGAATTTCCTGGATGGCTAGAATAGCTGTTGCTTGGATTAGAGGAATTTTCTTTGGACAGCTGTCATCTCACCCAAGGGCTTTCAAATACGTTTAAATCCCACCCACTCCCTTTTTTAAAGTGTCATTTTCAAAAGGGGGGAAAACCTAAGTGAACGATGTAAATGACTCCCCCACTCGATTTCACTTCATTAACTTTTTTTCTGAATCTGCAAACACCTCTCAAGGTAGCATGAGTGACACATGGTGATTTGGAGTCCATGTCACCTGATCCATCCCTTAATCCTCTCATCCGTGCTTGTCCTGCGAGGCCTGTTAGTGCCCCATCTTCCAGCTTAGAAAACAAAGGGCAGACAGTCCAGGTAACCTATCATCATGTCATAGCCAACCCATGAGATGTCACCTGTCTTTTCCTCTTCTGCCCACATAGGAATTTCAGATTTGCAGCAGCAAAATGAGATGGTTTGGAAACAAAGCAGAAGAGGAGATTCCCACGTCATGGTGGGAAGCTTCTGCGTCTTGAGAAAACAGGCTGCACAGAACCACAGCAAAACTGAACTGAATCTTCAACACAACTCAAAATTGCTACAAAAGGAGTTTTTTGTACTGATATTAGCAGCTGCTAGAAGTGGTCTCAATGCTCAGCTCTAAGGAAGAAGTATGCATCTGTTTTACATGTTGAATAAGATGCTAATATTTGAAAATAAAACTTCACAGAATTTTTTTTGGTAGGCACTCCTGACTGGAGTATTATTAATACAGAAGGAAAGGTATTCAACAAACTGTACTTTAAAGAAATTTTCTACAGAAAACAGGCACTAAGTAAGTTGTATTTACTGGATAATTTCTGATGGGAAGGAGGTAGATCAAAGCGTTGGCCTTTATCTTTAGGTTGTACAGTCATGTGCTATTATGCTTTACAATGTTATGGTACTTTCCAAATTTTGACAAATTAACAGATGGCTTTTTTATAACTTTAAAATTAAAAAAAATTAACAGAACCAAAAATAATGTATAGGCTTGGACACTAAATAGATCATATTTCATCTCAACGATTTACTAGTTATGGGACATTACTTAAATTACGTCTTTGCATTTTCCACCTATAAATGAAAGGAAAAGGGTATTTCTCATGACTCCATTTAACTAACACCATAAATTCTCATCGTTTCCATGATCTCTGAGTGGAGGTATCCTAAACACAGCAAATGTACCTGCATGGACGTTCGTAGATCATATGTATAAATCCAGGAAAACTCAAGAAGGTTGGTATTGGGGAAGTGGGGAACAACAGTCAGCTTAGGGCATAGGGTGAGGCAGGTCAGCTCTGCAGGGGAGTAGGTTGGCACATTCCATGAGCTGGACAAAGCATTGTTTTTACCATATCATGCCATGCAGACATACCACAAAGTATGGTACCTAAATCCATCCAGAACCCTCATATCCACCCTTCAACTGTCATCCACCTTCTCAACTGTCTGTAAGTTTCAGAAGGCACTGATATTGGGATGTTTGCAAGCAAGAGTCCTCAGAACAATTGTCCCCAAAGAAATGTTCTTTTTCAGAGTGGATGTAAGTCTGTCAGTATATGGTGATCTTTGGACTGCTTGAATCCTTCTGAAACTTGGAGGGGCTTGACCCAGATGGGTAAAGAGCTGTCCCCTTTTCAGTTACTGCTCTTGATTTTCTCACAATATTCAGACTCTTCCTTAGGGGGACAGTTAAGTATAACCTTCATCTTAAAGGTAATCCTCAGATTGATTATGATTACAAAAAGATGGGTATAACCCAAAGTTTCTTGCAAGGATAAGATCATAAGATATTAACCTTACAAAGAGCTTTTTGAAAGCTGCCATCTGTTGCCAAGGAAGGGTGAGTCAATGGTTTATTTACAAATCCATTCAGCAAGCCTATATTGAGTAGCTTCTGTGGGGTGGCGCTGTGCTAATCTTGAAAATCAGCTGATCCTGATATCATCACTAAACAGGACAAGACTGAGCAATGCCAGGTACTGAAAGGACCAGGCAGTATCTCTGAGCCATTTGGGTTCAACCATCAGAACACCGGTACCCCTCCCAGCTCAGGAGTCATTTTTTTACTTTTATTTACGTTTTTTGTTTGTTTATTTGGAGACAGGGTCTCACGTATCTCAGGCTGGCTTCAGACTCCCTGGATAGCCAAGGACGATCTTTAGTTTGTGATCAGAGTGCTTATACCTCCTGAGAGCTATAGTAACAGGACTGTATATGCACCAGCTGATGGAGGAGGGTCATCTTTCTATCTGTTGATTTCATTGGTTAAGCAATAAAGAAACTGCTTGGCCCTCATGGGTTAAATCATAGGTGGGTGGAGTAAACAGAACAGAAGGCTGGGAGGAAGAAGCTGAGTTGAGGAGTCGCCATGATTCTCCCACTCCAGGCAGACAAAGGTTAAGATCATTCCTGGTAAGCCAGCTTGTGGGCTACATAGATTATTAGAAATGGGCTAGTCCAGGTGCTAGAGTTAGCCGAGAAAAGGCTGGAACTAATGGGCCAAGCGGTGTTTAAAAGACTACAGTTTCCGTGTAATTATTTCGGGGCATAAGCTAGAGCTAGCCATGTGGGTGGCCGGGTGCAGGGGACGCAGCCCCGCCACTCCTATTACTACAACCAGCCTCCTAGTACAAGTGATGGGAATTGAGCCTAAGGCCTTAGTGTTTTACATAATCACTCTACTAAATGAGACACATTCTCTTTCCTGAGCTCAGAACTCTTTAGAGACATCAGAAAAAGTTTCCTGCCCTTAAGAAAATTCTATAATTTATTGCAGACTCTCTGAGAACTTATTTTCTTGTTATCATCCTAGAGTTGACAGGTGAGCCACACTTTCGTTTTTTTGTACAGAAAATTATTTAAAAAGAAAAATTAAAATAAAATTTTATTTCCTGTACTTCAACTTTTTTTTATAGAGATAGGCAACCCAGGAGCAAAATCAAGAACTTCTAATGAAATAAATCTGAAAAAAATCTTTAACTTCACCATGCTTCATTTTAATTAGTCAATTAATGAATTAATTTTGAGATGGGCACTGAATCTGTACTTCAAGTTATAATGAAGCCCAGGCTGGTCATGATCTCAACATTTTAATGCATCAGACTTCAAAGTGATAGAATGACAGGAGACTCACCACATCCAGTTTAATTTCCTCAGAGGATGAGACACAGAGAATGGGGCTGCAGACATTGTTCAGTGCTTAAGAGCACCCTATTCTGGCAGAGGACCCCAATCTGAGCTCTTAGCACCCATGTGTCATGGTTACTCTAAAGCTCAAGCTTCAGGATGTCCAATGCCTCTAACTTCCCTAGGCAACAGTACTCATGCATGCACACACACACACATAGTTCTAGAGAAAAAAGTTTTAGAAAAGAAACCAAGATGAGACTACTAGTAATAAGGTTTCAGAGCTTTTTCTTTGTGACAGTTAAACACATGAATTCAAGTTCAGTGGTTAAGACAAGGCTAGAAATGATGGTTTTTGCATGTGTATGTGTACATGTACCTGTTAATGAGTGTGAAGGTGCATACATGTGCAGGTGTGTGAGTGAATGTGCATGCATGTCATGTGTGCCTGTGTGCCTGTGTGTGTGTGTGTGCATGTGTGCCTGTGTGTGTGTGCATGTGTGCATGTGTGTGTGTGTGTGCGTGCGTGTGTGTGTGTGTGTGCATGTGTGCCTGTGTGCCTGTGTGTGTGTATGTGTGTGTGTGCATGTGTGCATGTGTGTGTGTGTGCATGTGTGCCTGTGTGCGTGCGTGCGTGTGTGTGTGTGTGTGTGCATGTGTGCCTGTGTGTGTGTGTGTGCATGTGTGTGTGTATGTGTGTGTGTGTGTGCATGTGTGCCTGTGTGCCTGTGTGTGTGTGTGTGTGCATGTGTGCCTGTGTGCGTGCGTGCGTGTGTGTGTGTGTGTGTGCATGTGTGCCTGTGTGTGTGTGTGTATGTGTGTGTGTGTGTGCCTGTGTGTGTGTATGTGTGTGTGTGTGCATGTGTGCCTGTGTGTGTGTGTGTGTGTGTGTGTGTGTGTGTGTGTGTTTGTCTTGTCTGTCTGTCTGTCTGTCTGTGCATGGGGAGGCCACAGACTGGTTCTGGGCATTTTCTCCATTGCTTCCACTTTATGTAGGGAAACAGGTCTTTTGCTAAACTCAGGTGTCACCAACTTGACTAGTGTAAGCTCATATTTCCACATGGTGTGACAGCCAGGCTCTCAAGCCATAGACCGCATCTGAGGTGGTTATGTAACCTTCCAGGCAGGCTATTGCTACACTAACAAAAGGTCAGGATGTTGTTTTGCTCTTTCTCTGTAATTTGGAGGATGCCTGAACAGAGATGCTAATAAAACCTACGTGACAGATTTAACATACAGACCAGGAAGACATGACAGAGGAGACACAGGTAGATGTGGATGTGACTAAAAGCCATTCACCTGGTTACCTAGGAAACAGAATGCTAATGAATTTCCCCCTTAGTTTACGTTTTGATACATAAGGCTGTTTGGAAAATAAACGAGGAATTCTTC